CCATGGCAATACATGCAGTCCCTGTTCCGCATGGATGCAGAAACAATTCATACAATGGACTCCAAAGACATTGAATTTCATTCAATAAGGTGTGACCAGGATAGTGCAGGAAATTGCCGTGCCTGTCACAGCTAGGTCTTCAGGCGCTCCATTCGTATGTAGACAGTTCTTGATAATGTATCCATGCCAATCTAGACAAGCCTACATTACTGGGAGAGTCATTACTTCCCCTGTCCCAGAAGTGGAATTAACTCCTTCACACCCAGAGCATGACAATGCAAAGTGAAGGTGGAAACAGAGTCATGCATATTTTCATAAAAAAAATACTACCAAAACGTCCCACTTTCTCCACAGGGTGATGTGGTCAAAGCAAAGGGCTTGAATAATGAATCATAAAATCCTAGAAACATAGGCTTGGGAAGGACCTCCAGAGGTCATCTAGTGTACCCACAACAGCCTTGAGGCAAGACCAAGTATAGCTAGAATATCCTTGACAGGTGTTTGTCTAACCTGTCCTTAAAAATCTCCATTGATGAAGATTCCACTGTTTCTTGGTAATCTTCTGCAGTGCATATCTATCCTTAACATTAGAAAGCTTTTCCTAATATCCAACCTAAACCTCCCCTGCTACAGATCAAGCCACTTACTTTATGTGATATCCTGGTGGGCACAACGAAATATGGGTCACCATCCTCTGTATAACAGGCCGGGACATATTTGAAGACGGTTATCAGGTCTCCCATACACTAAATATGCCCATTTCTTTTAACCTTTCCTCATAGATCATGTGTGAGGATAAGGAGGTAGCTTTGTGGTTTCACTTCTGAATGGCGATTTGTAGCAAATGAAAGAGATTGACATCACCTGGATGTGAGTGTGATGCTGGCAGATCAGGTGCCAGCTCCCGCCAAGGCTGCTAAGCCTCAGCTGAACACCGCCAACCCCATCCCTGGAACCAGTCTGGCTCACCTGTGTGTGAGGTTACAATAGGTATTAGAGTTATAAAAATGTTTAGTGTTAAGACTTATTCAACACTTGTAGGAAGATGCATGTATTAATCTCACTTATAACATCTGTATCCTGGGTTCTAGAGTGACATTAAGCATTTGCACTGTAATCCTCTGTAACTAAGTCATCAAACAGGGAAGAAGCACTGATTAATGTAAAATGCTGGCTTCCGACAGAAGGTGTTTGGTCCTGCCCACCAAGAAGGCCCAATGAAACCAAATGAGCCATTATGAAACATCAAAGAACAAAGATTTTGTAATTGCATTCCTCCCCTCCCTGCATGTAGTGGAGACATGCATGTGAACTCATCCCATCAGCTTGAATTTGCGGGGGAGAAGGGTATAAAAATCCCTAACAAGAAGATACTGGATTTCTATGCTGCTTGGACTTTGGGAGGGAAGATTTCTAAGCATAAGCAAGGGATCTACAGCTGCTTAGACTGGGTTAGCCCTAAAGGACATATAGAGCTTGCACATTAGTGGCTTCTATCACCTTTTGGAACTTAAGACTGTCACTTATTTGTGTGTATGTTTTCCTGCTTTAACCTTTGTTACTTCTTATTCTTAGTTAATACATTTGTAAATAGTTTATTACAGGATTGGCTACAAGACTTGTTCTTGGTGTCAGATCTAAAGTGCCATTGACCTGGGATGAGTGATTGGTCCTTTGGGACTGGGAGTAACCTGAAAATTATTGTGATTTTTTTTTTTGTTGTAATGGACCAAAGAAAGGCAAGCTTGCCTGGATGGCAAAATAGACCAGAGTACTCAGGGGGACTGTCTATCATTCTGTGGTTAGGCTGTTATAGCACCTGAGGAATTTGTACTTGGTTGGTGAAATCTAAGTATAGAACTCACAGCCAGTTTGGGGCGTGTGCCCTGCTTCTAGTCTGCCCTGACCCAGGAACTCATGCTCCTAAGCCACTCCAGACAGCTTGACCATCAGGACCTAGAGCAGGGATCTCAAACTCAAATGACCAAGAGGGTCACATGAGGATTAATGCATTGGCCTGAGGGCTGCATCACTAACACTCCACCCCTTCCATGAGGCCCTGCCCCCACTCCAACCCCTTCCCCAAAGTCCCCACCCCAACTCCGCCCCCTCCCCGCCCCTATTCCAACCCCTTCCCCAAATCCCTGCCTCTTCTCTCCCTCCTCCCCTGTGCGCGTGGCTTCCTGCTCCTCCCTCCTGGAAACAGCTAAGCTGCCAAACAGCTGTTTGGCAGCAGGAACTGCCTGGAGGTATGTAGAGGAGTGGCGAGCAGCGCACGCACAGGAGGGGACGGGGAGCTTAGCGGCCACAGGAAATAACTCGGGGTGGGGGCAGGGGTGAGGGGAGTTTGGCGGCCACAGGAAGTAACTCCGGGGAGTGGGGGTGCACGGGGAGCTTGGCGGGCCGCAGCAAAGAACTCCGCGGGCCGCATGTTTGAGACCCCTGACCTAGAGAGAGGGCTATGCTGAAGATATTGCTCAGCTTGTGGGCCTGAGTGGCTGTGGTGTTGTCCGCAGTGACAGAGAAAGGTGGTGATGGGATGGCTCAGGGGAATAGTAAGAGTCTGTTTTTAGCCATTTAGCTTGAGCTGGTGGCCAGACATCCACAAGGAAATGTTAGAGAGACAGTCTGAGATTTTAGTTTGGTCAGAAGGAGACAGGTCTGGAGTAGAGAGGTAGACCTGTGAGTCATCTGCCTAGAGATGGTAGCTGAATTTGTGTTTGTGGATGAGATTCCCAAGAGATAAGTTACAGAGGAAGAAGAGAAGGGGACCAAGGACAGAGTGGGGATGTGGAGGATCCTCCTTAGGACATGCTGAAGGAGAGAATAGAGAAGTAGCAGGAGAATCAGGGGAGGAAAAGGGAAGGCAAGATTTCATGAAGAAGAGTATGTTCATCGTATCAAAGGCTGCTGACAGGTCAAGGAGGATGAGTGTTCCTCATTCCCGGGTAACCCGGATCTCCAACTCAATCCTTCCCCACCAACAGCACCACTGTTGAGCCCTTCCCCTGCTTTTCTCCATTAGAACATAAGAACAGCCATATTGGGGCAGACAAAAGGTCCATCCAGCCCAGTGTCCTGTCTTCTGACAGTGGCCAATGCCAGGTGCCCCAGAGGGAATGAACAGAACAGGTCATCATCAAGTGATCCATCCCCTGTCACCCATTCCCAGCTTCTGGCAAACAGAGGCTAGGGACACCATCTCTGCCCATCCTGGCTAATAGCCACAGTGGTTCTAATCGTCTCCTTGATGGATCTCAGTCGCTTGGCATCCATCACACCCACTGCCTCTTTGGGGAAGCTAAAAACTGCAGAGATTGGAACTTCAGGTGATGATGAGCCAAACTGATGAGTTCAACAGACCGAAATGCACACGTCCAGCAAATCTAAGGCTCTGTTAACCCCCAAAGAGTTTCCAGCAATCAGCTCTCAAAGCCATTCATTGACTGAAGAGGACACGCTGTGGCCATTGAACCTGAGCTACCCCCATGCATTTTAGCCTGAGCCCAACTTGGGACAGCTTTCAGACAGTGCATGTGATGAGGTTTTCTTGCATTCTGCATGAATTTGCCTTGGAGGTTTCGCACGGATACCAGAATTTCTGGGTTAACAGCAATATTTTAAAGTGCTCTCAAATCCACATGCAAATTCTGGCTCGGCCCCACCCCCTGAGCCGGGAGCTGGCAATAGCAACTTGGAATAGGTCAGTAAAGGCAATGCAAAGGGAAGGGGCAGATTCTCCACCTCTGGAAGTCTTCACGCCAAGACTGGATGTCTTCCTGGAAGATAATTTAGTCAAGCACAAGGTATTCAGATCAATTGTCAGAACCATGGGCCTTGAAACCAGGGCCACGGGAGCAGCCACACTTCAACCTTCCACTTGGCAGCTAACTGCTGACCAGGATCCCGGAAGCCGAGACCCAATCTGAGGCTTTGCTCCTGACAGCCAATTGGCAGAGTCCCAGAGCTGCCAATTGGGCTGCTGACCCTACTTAAACCAGCAACGGGAACAGGAAGCTGTCTGAATAACTGGGATCCACCCTACTCTGGATTGTGTACCTTGTGGCTCTCATGGCCAATCCTTTGGCTTGACTTCTGGGGGCCCTGACCTGGTTTGGCTCCTGGCATCTGAGCTGTGGTTCTTTCTGATTTGTCGCCTGCCTTTGACCCCCTGGTATCCTGACTTCGACTGACTCTGGTTACCAACTTGTGGTTCTGAACTCTGGTTTGTCTCCTGCCTCTGATCTCCCCAGATCCTGACCCAGCTGGCTCTTGACTCCTGACTGTGGACCCCAGCTCTGACCACTGGATCTGGTTGTCCATGACCTAGCCCTGACATCAACCCAGCAATAACTGGATGAAGTTCTATAGCCTAACAGTCCCTCCTGGCCTTGGAATCTGTAAATCTATAAGAGCTATCGGATGCCAGCATTTCTCCGCATGCCCTCCAGCTGTGTGCACTGTGTCAGTGGCAACTGTAATTAAATGGTGGAGGGATTAGTGGAGCAGCTTGGCAGAGTTGTGACTGGGATAAAAGACCGGTGTATGTCGACCCTGAGGGAACAGGTACGCCTCACGTAAGTGCTGGTTATTGTCGGTTGTGTCAGTAAAGGTGCACAAGGGTGTGTCCTTGCCACAGGGATTGACAGCAGCGTGGTGGCGTACACGCAAAGGTGAAGGAGTGACAACAGTTTGCAAGTCTGAGCTGGTTTGTGTGGATTGGGCTTGCCGGTTCAGGGCAGGAAACTTCCATTCGCTACACCAGACCTGAACCCAAGTTTGGCCTTTGCAAAGAGAAGGTGTGAGACTTTGTGCCATGCTGCTCCTGTGCTCTGCTCCCAGAGTGCTCTGTGGCGTGGAGGGCAGAGTGCTTTTGTATGTGTCATTGGTACGTGGGGACGTTGCTGAAACAGGGCAGAGCTGGAGTGGCACTGTGTGGGTGGTGTGAACCTTAACTCTTCATTTCTCCTTCTAAGAACCAAGGGGACAGGAATCCTTACCCAATGAGGTCACATTCTCATAGTTCTCCTGCATGACATCTCTGTAGAGGGCTCTCTGAGTGGGGTCCAGCAGAGCCCACTCTTCCCTGGTGAAATACACAGCCACCTCCTCAAAGGTCACCAGCTGCTGAAAGAGCAAGAGCCCCCTACTCAGTGCTTGCCCCCCATCACAGGAGAAAAGGGCCAGCCCTACCCCACTCACAGCAGACAGGAGACTTGGTGTGGGGGGGGAGACCTCTCCCCACTCCCAGAAGAAAGAGGGGGTGGGGGTCTTTGCATTCATCACCAGAGGCAGATCAGAGGGGCCAACTTTCTAATTTCCCCCAGGGGGCTCGATCCCTGCTTTACTCCAGGCCCTGGCCCCACCCCCACCTCGCCTCTTCCCACCCCGCCCCTTCCTGAGCCTGCTTCACCCCGCCCCGTTCCACCCCCTCCCCAGAGCATGCCCTGCCCTTGCTCTGCCTCTTCCTGCCCCAGCTCCTCCCTGCCAGCGCCTCCTGTACGCCACTGACCAGCTGATCCTTGGGGGCGTGGGAGGTGCTGGGAGGGGGGGGAGGAGCTGATCACAGGGGCTGCTGGTGGGTGCTGAGCACCCACTAGTTTTTTCCCTGTGGGTGCGCCAGTCCCGGAGCACCCACGAAGTCGCTGCCTATGAGGCAGATACAGGAAACAGAGCTGCTAGCATGGTGCAGGGACAGCTCCCTAGTAGGAATCCCAACACCCTTCCCATTGCCATCAGCTGGATGTGAGGGGATGGGTTATCTCCCCTACACCTCACTGGGTGGGGGGGTCCCCTTCATATCTCACAGCAGCCCCTGGTTAGTAGATTCACACTCCAGTACTTAGAGGCTGGGGAGTTTTCCCAGTGCAGTCCAGGGGGTTGTTTCCTGTTCCACAGTTCAGGGCTTTTATACCCCCAAACAGAGGTGCTGGAACAATTGTTATAGTGGGGGAGGCTGAGAGCCATTGCACCAAACTGTAAACCCTGTATACGATGGAAACCACTTCAAGCCCGCACCCCCTAGTTCCAGCCCCCCCTGCCCCCAAACCTCCTGGGCCTGTTCCTACAACCCAGCCCCTCCCTTTCTCCACCTCCTCCACCTCCAGGCCGAACTGCCCAGCAGATCCCGTCTCCTCTCTCACACAGGAGCCCACCAGCATCCCTACCTGAACTGGCTCCACGGCAGCCATTTCCCTGCCCTGTCGCCGGGGGAGAGGGGATGAGCAGGAGCGAAACAGGGATGTTCTTCTGCAGCCTGCCAGGACAAAAAGGGCAAGTGGGCAGATTGCAGAAAAGGCTTTATTTTAATTTACCTCCTGATTCCCCACAGGCTCTTTCCCGGCAGAGCTGTTCTCGACTCTGCCATGCAGAGGAAACGCCTGGTCGCCTCATTGCAGAGCAGACCTGGCCCCTCTCACCAGCACTAAACCCATGCAGACATTTTTAAACCCTCCCCAGGAACGAAGTCTCTGAATCAAATACTAACCATATGCTGATGCCTATGTTACTCTGGAGTCACTCCTTGTCCTTCCCTCCAGTGACTGGATTAACACTAGTTTCAGTGAAACAAGAAACATGGCTTTGGAGAGATGAGGACAGAATCTGTTTCAACAGGTCACATCTGGGATAAGGCCTCAGGGCAATAGTTTTCCCTCCAAAATGTGAAGTTCCTGCAGTACTGAAGGGGCCAGTGCAGCAAAAGTTGGGGTGATTGTGACAGATCTGGCAATTTCCTTGGTAAGTGTTACGGAATGAAGTAAATATCTTTGGAGACCATTGTAGAAAATGCAGAGATTTAGTATTATTGTGGGCCAGGTAGACCAAAGGACTATATTGAACAAGGTGGCCTACAAGAATGGTCTTTTGGGACAAGATGTGGGAACTGGATTTCCTGGGAAATATCTTGAATGCAAATCCCCCACCCCAGTTTATGCAAATTCCAGGCCTTCTGAAGCTATGCCCTGAGGAGTGGGCCTTTGTCTGCTGGCCACCTGTTATGAGGCCAACATCAAAGGCCAAATCTGTATAGAGGCAAGGCTGAACTATTTATGGTTGTTCTGGTTCTAGTTAAGGCTGTTATGAACTTGTAACAACAGAAAAAAAGCTGAGTGGAGTTTGAGGGCCTGGCTCCTTTTAGAGCCCCTGCTGGAGCTGGGGGCTGATTTCTGGTAAGCTTATGAGCATGCATGTAGGGTTTTTATTGTTTTTACACTGCTGATAGCCTCTGGAGACAATGCAAAGTGCAGACACTGGCCTGTTTACGCAGCGTGGCTTGCTGGGATATCACAATGTAGGCAGGGAGCTGTGCAGCCAGGAAACACTCTGGACAGGAGGAAGAGAAACACTGGACACTGCATTAGAGAGGTGCTGGCCAGGAGCCAGAAGCCTAAAAGTGGGTGCCCTTGGTGGACCATGCAGTGGAAATACATGTGCAGTTGCCCTGAACTGTGAAAGTGATTTCCTATCAGTATTTGCTAAAAGGAGAGAACATTAGCTCACCACCTGCTGGCCACTCACACAGGGAGCACTGAGTGATGCTTTTTTAACCAGAGAATGGCGGGTGTGAAATTTCCATGCCGTCACTGGCTAACAGCAGCCACTGATCCACCCCAGAGGCGGCTGCATCTCAGCCCTGGGGAAAGCAAACCCTCATGGAGACCATTTGTCATAAAGTTTGGGGATACTTCTGGTTAGGATTGTGTTTAAGGCCAGAAGGGATCAGCAGATCATCTGGTCTGACCCCCAGTATATCACAGATTACCAGCACCATGCAGCGTCATCACACTAACCCAGAGACTGAAATTAGACCCCACCATATCAGCCCATGGGAAAATCAACTATTATGTTCCACAGGGAGAGACTAGGAGAGAGTGAGGACCACCGATGTCTGAGCCCTCTACAATGGCAGGGAGATGATTCAATGAGATACACAAAGACAATCCTGGTGACTGACCAGCACCCAACACTGCAGAGGAAGGTGAAACCCCCAGGGTCACTGCCTGTCTGTCCTGGGGGAAATTCCTTCCTGACCCTATCCACTCAGAGCCTGAGCAGGTGAACAAGAACTAGCCAGCCAAGCACTTGAGAGAGAGAGTGCTCAGTGCCACCTCAGAGGCTTGGGCCTCCCATCCAGCATCCCATCTCCAAACATGGCTGTCTCTTACAAAAATCAAATCCCATGGGGAAAAAAACAGAACGAAACATTAACTGTGGCAAGTCACAGGAAGTATAATTAGGCAGGGAGGCCAAAAACAAATCTGAAGAACAATTAGCAAAAGACACACAAACTAAGAGCAATTGTTTTTAAAGTACATCAGAAGCAGGAAGTGGCTAGTCAGTGTGGCCACTGGACTATCAAGGTGCTACAGGAGCACTCAAGAAAGACAAGAAGCTAAATGAATTATTTGCATAGGACTTTACTGCAGAGAATGTGAGGGAGATTTTCACACCTGAGACATTCTTTTTAGGTGGCAAATCTGAGGAACTGCCCCAGACTGAGGTGTCAATAGGAGGTTTTGGAAGAAACTGATAAATTAAACAGTAATAAATCACCAGGTCCAGATGATATTCAATCTAGAGTTTTGAAGGAACTCAAATGAAATTTCAAAACCACTAACTGTGGTATGTTTCAGAGTAACAGCCGTGTTAGTATGTCTTCGCAAAAAGAAAAGAAGTACTTGTGGCACCTTAGAGACTAACCAATTTATTTGAGCATAAGCTTTCGTGAGCTACAGCTCACTTCATTGGATGCATTCAGTCTCTAAGGTGCCACAAGTACTCCTTTTCGTTGTACCAGATGAGTGGAGGATTGCTAATGTAATGCTGATTTTTAAAAAAAGGCTCCAGAGAGGATCCTGGGAATTACAGGCCACTAAACCTTACTTTACTACCAAACAAATTGGTTGAAACTATAGTAAAGAACAGAATTATCAGACAAATAGAAGAATATGTTAGGAAAGAGTCAACATGGCTTTTTGTAAAGCAAAATCATGCCTCACCAATCTATTAGAATTATTTGAGGGCGTCAACAAACGTGTGGATGGGGTGATCCAGTGCATGTAGTATACTTGGACTTTCAGAAAGCATTTGACAAAGTCTCTCACGAAAGGGTCTTAAGCAAAGTAGGCTGTTCTGGGACAAGCGGGAAGGTCCTCTCCTGGATCAGTAATTGGTTAAAAGATGTGGGGGAGGGGGAGAAGGAAAGGTAGGAATAAATGTTCAGTTTTCAAAGTGGAGTAAGGTAAATAGTGGGGTCCTCCAATGATATGTACTGGGTCCTGTGCTGTTCAACAGATTAATAAGTGATCTGGAAAAAGGGGTAAAGAGTGAGGTGGCAAAGTTTGCAGATGACACAAAATTACTCAAGATGTTGACTGTGAAGAGACACAAGTATCTCACAAAAGTGGATGAATGGGCAACACAATGGCAGATGAAATTCAATGTTGATAAATTCAAAGTAAGGCATATTGGAAAACATAATTCCAACTATACATGTAAAATGATGGGGTCTAAATTAGCTGTTACCACTCAAGAAAGAGATTGTGGAGTCCTTGTGGATAGTTCTCTGAAAACCTCCATTCAGTGTGCAGCAGCAGTCAAAAAAGCAAACAGAATGTTAGGAATCATTAGGAAATGCAAGTAGGTTTTCCCTTTAGGAAAGGGATAGATAAGACAGTAAATACCATAATGGCACTATATAAATCCACGGTATGTCCGCATCTTGAATACTGTGTGTACTTCTGGTCACTCCATCTCAAAAAAAGAAATATTAGAATTGGAAAAGTACAGAGAAAGACAAGAAAAATGATTCAGGGGATGGAACAAGCTTCTGTATGAGGAGAGAATAAAAAGACAGGGACGGTTCATCTTAGAAAAGAGATGACAAAGGTCTATAAAATTATGAATGGTGTGGAGAAAGTGAATAAGGAAGTGTTATATACTCCTTCACATAACATAAGAACCAGGGGAACCTAACGAAATTAATAGACAGCAGGTTTAAAACAACATACGGCAGTACATCTTCACAAAGCACACAGTCAACCGATGGAACACATTGCCAGAGGGTGCTGTGAAGGCCAGAAGTATGAATGGGCAGGGGCAGCAGGTTTGTAGAAATTTTGGTGGTGCCCAGAATGGCCAGAGCCTGCCACCCCCCAAACTCTGCCCCCCCCACCTGCCTAAGGTTCTGGGAGGGAGTTTGGTCGGGGCGGGGGGAGGAGGTCCGGGCTGCAGGCCCTGGGCTGGGGCAGGGGATTGGGGTGCAGGATGAGTGAGAGGTTGGGCTCTGGGAGGGAGCTTGGGTGTGGGAGGGGGTCTGGGATGCAGGCTGTGGGATGGCATTTGGGTGTAGTCTCTGGGCTGGGGCAAGGGTTGCAGGCTCTGGGAGGGAGTGCAGAGGGCTGGGGTGCAGGCTCCGGGAGGAAATTGGGGGCAGGAGGGGGCGTGTGGGAAGGGGGTGGGGGTGCAGGCTCTGGGATGGAGTTTGGGTGCAGGCTCCAGGCTAGGGCAGGGGGTGGGTGTGCAGGAGGGGGTGAGGGGTGCAGGCTCTGGGAGGGAGTTTGGGGCCAGAGGGTAGGGGTAGGGGTGCAGGCTCTGGGAGGGGGTGCGGCGCTCACCAAGGGCTCCTAGGCAGGGCAGGCCGGGGGTCCCCACGTGCTGCTACCCCCAGGCACTCCCCCTGCAGCTTCCCATTGGAAGGCAGGGGCGCTTGGGGTGGGAAACAGATCCCCCCCTGCCCACGTGGAGTGAGCAGGCAGGAAGCCACTCAGCTCTGCTGCGCTGCCAGTGGTGAGTGGGGGCCCTGGGCTGTTTTAAATGGCCTGGGGGATGCATGGGAGGGGGCGCGGAGGCAGAAGGCGGGGCTGAGGGAGAGAGCCGGCCTCAAACAGTGCTGGAGCCGGGTATGTTAATTGTATGTTAATAGTTCATAATAGGAATAGAAGCAAAAATTGAATGAATTTCTTATCAGTATTTCATCAAAAGAGAGAAAAAACCCCAACATTTGATATGCAATCCTTGCAATATTCAAGAATTTGAGGAAAGGGCAAAATCTGAGGAGATTTTAATGTTAACATTTTATAATGAGAGAGAGATGGAAATATCGCAGGGGATATTAAATTAGTAATAGATAACTAGAGAGAAAATGGGGCAAGACTTAGGGTATTTTATATCAGTCTTGGGGAGTTTTATATCAGAATTGGGAGGAAGTGGGTCAAAAACTAAATATTTGAGAATAGAGAGAAACAGTAAAATCTGAGGGCATTTTACATCCATATTCAATAATGAGAGAGAAAAGTGGGAACACTTGAAAGGATTTCATATGGCTGTTTGTAACCAAACAACCCCCCTGCCCAATTCACATGATGAGCAGGGAGTCCTTTGAAAAGCTGCTTTAAGAGGACAAGGCAGGGGAATACGGAGCCGGAGGGTGATGGGCAGGCAACTGGTGGGAGCTGCATCAGGCAGTTGTGGGGGGGCAGTAGCTGGGACTGGGTAACCTGAGTCTGGGTGGGCAGTCTCCACTGGGGACTCTAGTTCCTCCCTTCTCCTCCTCTGCATCTTCCATGCCCGACGGCTTGCAGAGAATGGCCACCCCATCCCATCCCACCCCACAGGCAGCCAGGGCACAAGGCTCTCCCAAGCAGCACCCTCTAACCCCCTCCCCATCTAACCCCCTTCCTATCTGGGGAATGACTCAGGACAACAATTTCCTGCCTAAACAAGGACAATCTACTGCAGAGAAAATAGGCAGGGAAATATCCAAAATCTGAGGAGATCTGAAATTGATAGTGGAGAATTAGAGAGAAAATGGGGCAAAATCTGAGAATAGAAAAGGGGTCAGTAATTTGAGGGAAAAAAAAGTGTGTGGGGGCAAATCTACATGGATTTTACCTCCATATTCAATAATTAGAGAGAAATGGGGGAGAATTGAAGAAAATTTTATCAGTATTTGGGAGTATTTGGGAAATCGTCAATTCTGAGGTGATTTCATCCTCCCTTGTCCCTGCGATTCTATTCTATGTTCTCTTCTCGTCTCGCTGTAATTTCCTGGCTACACAGAGATAGTTAAATCTACACTTCACGCTGTCTCTCTCCCCTCTCCCTTTAATCTCTTTTATTTTGTCTCTCTTCCCTTTCTCACATCTCTATCCCCGAACACAAAGGGGAAAACCCACTGGAGACAGGTCTCCTTGCTCCCCCCCACAATCCCAGTTTTGCTCCTGGGGCAGATCCTGGCAAGAGCTGAGAGCAACAGTGTCACTGTTAACACAGCTCCAGTGACTCCCGCAGGAGCATTAGCAACAAGGGAGCAGATTCCGAGGCCGTGAGATGTGACATTCCAGGAGCATTCGTGCCTGTCCAGTCCCCAGCACTTTCACTGAGGTTTCTCTCCATCACCTGGTGTCCCCGGCTCAGGGGTTGAAGTCAGCAGAGCCGGGAGCTGTCCTAGGGGGCTGGTTCCAGCCAGAGAAAGTCCCCACCTACTGCTGGGCTGAGGGTACGTTGCTGGGGCATCATGCCGTGGTGTGGGAGAGGCAGCAGGGGCCTGTGCTCTTGCAGCCATTATAGACAGGAGTTGCTGGACCAGTTCTCTCTGTTGGGCTCTGTCCTCCTCCCTTAGCTGCCGTTCCTGTTCCAGGAACTGCTTTGCAAGTGCCTGCTCCCTGGCTGAAACGCTTGCCTCCAGCTGGATGGCGAGCCTCAGCCTCTCCACCTGCCTCTCAGCACGCCGTTGTTCCAGTCTTTCATCCCTCTGCTTCTGGTATTGCACCTGCTGCTCTACCCTCTGAAGAACATGGAGCATAACTTCATCACGGAAACGCTTTCTTTTGGAACGGTCCGCGAGGGTACGCTGGGTCAGGGATGGAGTTCCTGAAGAACAGCAGGCCGTGTAGCCTGAAGGTCCTGAAACAGGACAAGAAAGAGAGGGTTAGCGTCTAAACTAGCTCAGCGGAGGAGACAAGATCAGTAACTGAGGAATCCCAAGGACATAAAATGTAACAGTTCTGAAGTGAACCTACACATATTGTGAAGGGGACGCTTCAGTCCACATGCTGTTTCTTGACACAGCCTTGTTAATCACAGTGACAGATGTGCAGAAGCAATGGTAAGTTTAAAATTAAAACCTTTACTCTGCTTCATAAAAACCTCGTAACTTATTGTCATATGGGGGAGGGGTGTATAGCACCCTGGCTGCAAAAGGCTTTTTCTGTCATTTCAGATCTTTTTCCTATTTCAGAAGGCATAACCGTCCTTGTGGTGCCCTAGTGACAGAGAGAGAGGTTATTCCAAGCTACTGGAGGGAAACCCACAGTGTAAGCAGCAGAAGTATTCAAATGTACATTGACTGGAGGGGGCCTGGAAAATTTGCTCTTCCATGCAATCTATCTAGAGTTCCTGCTTCAGGAGAAGTTTGCAGCTATCAGCAGCTAGGCTTGGGTCAGAATCCATGAGGGAATTAACATGATGCTGTGTTAGCTCACACATGGCTTATCCCGTTATTACTGTATGCAACATTTTCTGAAATCTGCAACTTTACTCCACCCTTGCATGGATTATCTCTAACTGAAATGGACTAGATTTGGACATATAGAATACTGTTTCCAAAATACACACACCCAGTTCACTGTTTACAGGCAGCTGCATAGACCTAGGAGTGATTGTAGAGTGGCAAATTTCTAATTACTGAAAGGAAAACAAGAATGACCATAGCAAATCACTGTGTCTTAATACTTAAAATAACCATTACAGCTGTGTACGGAAGTTTGAAATTCCAAGTCACCCTGCGAACTCCACGCTGGGACAGGGGAAGAGGGGGCGCCTAGGGACTGTGATACAACCCGCCATTACTAGCCAAACGCCGGTAGCCAGGGGTAGCTTACTGGTTTTGCATTGCTTCTTAAAGCAGAAATCGCTCCTATTACTGTAATAATCCACTTTTAATTGGAATCATACACTTACCGGCGGGTTCTAGGGCTGCTTCTGGCTCCACCGGGTTCTCAGCAGACTTGGCAGAGGGCTGTTCTTTAGAGGCAGGAGGATCAAACAGCTCTTCTGAGTAGGGACTGAGAATTTGCTCTTGATCCTGATCCACAGCCTGCTCTGGAACTGGTTGCATTAAAAATGTCACTTCATGATCCTGGCTGGGAGCCGGCTGCCGCCTGCAATCAGACCCCAGGCTGGATTCGGGGGCCAGCAGGGCACCGTCCGGGCTCACCAGGTCATCATGAAGCACGGTTGGCTCTGTGCTGGGCACAGTGCTCAGGACCCGGTCAAAGTCATCATAAAATGGGCATGTCATTGGTGAGTTGCCCGAGAAGCGATTCTTATCCCTGGTCTTCCTGTATTCTCTCTTTAGCCTCTTAATTCGCTCCCTGCACTGATCACTTGTCCGGAAAATCTGCAGAGCGGCCAGCTTTTTAGAGATTTGCTGATACAGGTGGTCATTCCTGGTGCTTTTGCTGAAATCCACAGTTTTACTGGCCTCACACCACAGATTCACCAAAATCTGGCTGTGCTCAAGTGACCAGGAAGCAGCTCGCTTTACAAAAGGCTTGAATGGATCAGTCTCCATTGCAAACCCTGGAGGATTTCTCACCGTGTGCTTGCAGAGCGGTGCTCAGAAGACAATGGGTTAACGCTGACTTGCTGCCATTCGGAAGGGGGGCTTCCGTTTGCAGTAGAGTGCATTGCAGATTGCTGGCATAGAGAGAACTAAGGAAGTTGTCCCAATGACCTCTGGGATACATCCGGCAGACTCCCAAGACCTGAATCAAGCCAAGGTCATGTCTACACTGCAAAGCAATAGGGCTCAGACCTCCAACCCTTAAGGGTCCTGGGACCCTGGGTTCAAGCCCAGGGTTAGCACAATTGCAGTGTGGAAGCTAGTGGGGTTTGCATTGAGCCTGAGTTTACATTGCAGTGTAGAGAGAGCCCTGGTCACTTTCCTGTTCCCAGGGCATTCACTCTCCTGTAGCTGGATTGGCTCCTACAAGGGCTAACAGGAGCAAAAGCCGTGTGTGTGTGAGAGAGAGAGTGTGTGTAACGCAGCAGCTCTGGGACTCACAGATGCAGGAGGAAGAGCAGAGATGGGGGCTAGTTCCCTCTGGAGAAAGTCCCTGTCCCAGTGTGTGTGGCAGGCTGCAGGCCAGGTTGGAAATGAAGGAGACAGGAGGGGCTGGAACAGCTGGGAGCAGGGGGTGCTGGCAGGAAGGAAGCACAAAGAACGAGACACTGGGCAGCTCCTGGCTGTAGGTGCTCTGTGAAACACAAGATGCTGCTACCTCCAGTGTGACTGGGGAGCCCTGGCTGAGCAGCTGCTGCTTTCCCAGCCAGGTCTGTGCTGAGGAGAAATCTTCGTTAAAGTTCTTCCTGTGCTCAGCTGAGGTGGGGATTTTCTCCAGCTGGAACCTGCCCCCACCCCCCGCCCCGCCACGGGCTCTGCCACCCCCCGCCCCGCTACGGGCTCTGCCATCAGCAGCCCCTGAGCCGGAGATACCAGCTAATTGAGAGAGACCTTGGAGAAAGGGCTGGGGATGGGCAGGAAAGAGTCTTTCAGAGCTCACAGCCCCTGGGAACAGGATGGGTAAGGAGGAAGGGAGACTGCCCAGCCCAAGGTTACCCATTCTGAGCTGCTGTCCCCCCGATCTGCCCAACACAGCTCCCATGTGCTGCAGGTTACCTGTCCACCTCTGCTGCTGCGCCCTCCCTGCTGCAAGGGAGTCTGCTTCTTCCATACCCCCCTCTGAAAGCAGCTCCCCAAAGGGCTGCCCGCTGCCCATGTGAATGGCAGTGGTGGTGAGAAACTATCACTGTCTGCTTGTTTATTGAATGTTCATGTACAATCCCTTCTAACTTTCCCACGTATTTAATATTGAGATCAAATCCCTTCACAGCGTGGTGTTTTTCTCTCATATGATCAAATATTTTATTTGTATCCTATTTTCTCCCCATGTCTCAAGGATTGTTATAAACTGTCCTAAAATTTTGCCCTGCTTTCTCTCTGCCTCTCTATTCCTTATTTAAGTGTCCTGAGATTTTCTCCGTCTCTGTTATAAAATATTAACATAAAATCTCAGAATTTTCCCTTTTCTCAAATTCTTGAATATTGGTAGAAAATCCTTCCAAATGTTGCCCCATTTCTTTCTATTTATGAAATAATTATCAGAAATTCACTCAAATTTTAATTCTTTACCTATTATTGACTCAAAGTATTAAATCCCTCATATTTTTCCACTTTCTTTTCTAATTTATGAAAATTGATCCAAAATTCTTTAGATATCCACCCTTCCGTCTGTAACGACTGAACACTGATATCAGCTGTCAGAGTTTGAACCTCCCCCTCCCCCCACAGTGACATAAGTCACATCAACTTTCAGGGCTGTCTACACTGTGCGATGTCAGCGAGAGCGTCTGCGGCTGACATCACATGTCTTCACCAGATGCGCTACATCGATGCAGCTGCATCCATGGGTGGCATGTGGCTCCAGCATTTGGAGGCTGGCCCGAGTGCCAGAAGCTCCACCGGTGCCCAGATGGTGGCCCCAAGGCCCTGCCCCGCCCCCATGTGGCCTTCTCCCCTGAGGCCCTGCCCATGCTCAACCTCCGCTCCACCCCAGGCCCCGCTCCCGCTCAGCCTTCTCTCCCAATGCCCCCCTGCCCACCCACCGAGTCCATCCTCGCCTCCTTCCCTGAGACCCCACCGAGTCCTGAGACACCCACCACTCCCTGTAACCCCCACACCTCCTGGGTGTGGTGTTCTGTGCCATCTAGTGGCACAAAGACCACGTAGAGAGAGAGATGAAATGAGTTTGCTCTATAGCCTTAGCTAACAACCAGTTGGCTTTTAGCTCATGCGGTAGAGGCTCATGCACTAAGCTCCAGAGGCCCCAGGTTCGATCCCCCCTGCCCGACGACCAGGGTCTGTTGGTGTTACACCTCCTTCCCCATGTCCCCTCTGCTGCCACTCGCCGAGTCCCTCCTCTCCTCCACCCCTGTCCCCAAGGCCCCCCTGCCCACCTCTCGCTGAGTCCGTCCCCCCCCACCCTCAAGACCCCGCTGCTCGGGGGAGGAGGCCAGGGGGTTGAGGGTGGAGCAGAGGAGGAAGTCGGGACTCAGCGAGCGTTGTGGTAAGTGGGGGGGTCACAGGAGAGGAGAGTGGAGGAGGGGAGAGACTGGGTGAATGGCAGCATGGGGGGCCTCGCGGGAGGGGCGGAGCAGGGACGGGAAGAGGTGGAGCGCTTGGGGGACCACCGGAGGAAAAGCGGGAGGGGCCCTTGGGGACAGAGCACAGGCTGGGCCACCACAGCCCAGGTGTCTGCTCGCTCAAAGGCAGCAGCAGATCGGTGGCTATGCCGCAGGGGAGTCTTAGCATCCCCTGGCCTATTATACCCATTGCCTATGGCTGCACTGATGTAATGTAGCAGTGAAGATAAGCCCTGGGTTTTTGCTGCCTCAGGCACTCCCCAGAGTGGGTGACAATCTCCATGCTACTGTATTAACCCCTCACTTTCCCATCACCACGTTCACTGGAAGTGTCTCAAAACCCCATGACTAATGAGCTCCATGACATGTTGCTTCTCCCAGCACTGAGATGTAGCCACCTCTGGGGTGGGTCCCTTGTGGCCTTTATTTGCCAGGGATAGGGCATGTGACCAAGTCACCTGGTACTGGACGCCATCATAGAATACCATACACATCACTCCTGACCCGCAGCCTCAGCAGACGATGCGCCTCACTCCTGACCCGCAGCCCCTCACTCCATTGATGCGTATCGTTCCTGACTCACAGCATCCCCAACTCCTGACCAGCATCCCCAACAAACAATGCACTTCATTCCCAATTCGCAGTTCCCCTGCCAATGCCCTTCACTCCTGACCCACAGCCCCCCCACTCGAACAATGCACCTCACTCCCAACTTGCAGTCCCCCATCGTGATGATGCATCTCACTCCTGACCTGCAGGCCCCCACCACAATGATGCACCTCACTCCTGACTCACAGCCCCCCACCTGTACGATACGCCTCATTTCATGACTGCAACCCGCTCCCCAACAATGCACCTCAGTCCTGCCCCAAAATGCCCCCAGATGATGCACCTCATTCCTCTTGACCTGCTGCTCACAAACAGGGAAGAATTGGTAGGCGAAGTAGAATTGGGTGGCAACCTGGGCAGCAGTGACCATGAGATGGTCGAGTTTAGGATCCTCACAAAAGGAAGAAAGGAGAGTAGCAAAATACGGACCCTGGACTACAGAAAAGCAGACTTTGACTCCCTCAGGGAACTGATGGGCAGGATCCCCTGGGAGAATAACATGGGGGGGCAAGGAGTCCAGGAACGCTGGCTGTATTTCAAAGAATCCTTATTGAGGGTGCAGGAACAAACCATCCTGATGTGCAGAAAGAATAGCAAATATGGCAGGCGACCAGCTTGGCTTAACAGAGAAATCTTCGGTGAGCTTAAACACAAAAAGGAAGCTTACAAGAAGTAGAAACTTGGACAGATGACTAGGGAGGAATATAAAAATATTGCTCAAGCATGCAGGGATGTAATCAGGAAGGCCAAAGCACAGCTGGAGTTGCAGCTAGCAAGGGATGTAAAGGATAACAAGAAGGGTTTCTACAGGTATGTTAGCAACAAGAAAAAGGTCAGGGAAAGTGTGGGACCCTTACCGAATGAGGGAGGCAACCTAGTGACAGATGATGTGGAAAAAGCTGAAGTACTCAATGCTTTTTTTGCCTCTCTCTTCACAGGCAAGGTCAGCTCCCAGACTGCTGCACTGGGCAGCACAGTACGGGGAGGAGGTGAGCAGCCCTCAGTGGTGAAAGAACAGGTTAAGGACTATTTAGAAAAGCTGGGCATACACAAGTCCATGGGGCCGGATGCAATGCATCCGAGGGTGCTGAGGGAGTTGGCTAATGTGATTGCAGAGCCATTGGCCATTATCTTTGAAAACTCGTGGCGATTGGGGGAGGTCCCGGATGATTAGAAAAAGGCAAATATAGTGCCCATCTTTTAAAAGGGGAAGAAGGAAAATCCTCACCTCAGTCCCCAGAAAAATTATGGAGCAGGTCCTCAAGGAATCCATTTTGAAGCACTTGGAGGAGAGGAAGGTGATCAGGAACAGTCAACATGGATACACCAAGGGCAAGTCATGTCTGACCCATCTGATTGCCTTCTATGATGAGATAACTGACTCTGTGGATATGGGGAAAGTGGTGGACGTGATATATCTTGACTTTAGCAAAGCTTTTGATACGGTCTTCCACAGTATACTTGCCAGCAAGCTAAAGAAGTATGGATTGGATGAATGGACTGTAAGGTGGATAGAAAGCTGGTTAGATAGTCGGGTTCCATGGGTAGTGATCAACAGGTCAGTGTCTAGTAGGCAGTTGATATCAAGGAGTCGGTCCTGGGGCCAGTTTTGTTCAAGATCTTAGTTAATGATCTGGATGATGGGATTCCTTGCACCCTCAGAAAGTTCACGTCTGACACTAAGCTGGGGGGAAAGGTAGATATGCTGGAGGGTAGGGATAGGGTCCAGAGTGTCCTAGGCAAATTGGAGGATTGGGCCAAAAGAAATCTGATGAGGTTCAACAAGGACAAGTGCGGAGTCCTGCACTTAGGATGGAAGAATCCCAGGCATTGCCACAGGCTGGGGTCCGACTGGCTAAGCAGCAGTTCTGTAGAAAAGGACCTGGAGATTACAATGGACAAGAAGTTGGATATGAGTCAGCAGTGTGCCCTTGTTGCCAAGAAGGCTAACGGCATATTGGGCTGTATGAGTAGGGGCATTGCCAGCAGATCGAGGGAAGTGATTATTCCCCTCTGTTCAGCACTGGTGAGGCCACATCTGGAGTACTGCGTCCAGTTTTGGGCCCCCACTACAGAAAGGATGTGGACAAATTGGA